GAGCCAAAGTCAGCATGAAGAATACTCTGCCCTTTTATGGGCTACCAACAAGTAGCCTACAAACAAAACACTGTCTGAGCTCAAGACACTTCCAGCATTCATTTTAAAACCAGATACTCTTTTTTATTTATCTTCAGTTTACTGCAAATTTAGTTAGACTCAACAATACAGGACTAATTGTTATATTTATCTTTGTTGTTTTAAGCCTATGCCATGTACAATAACAGCAGTAAATAGTTAATGAAACCATGCAGCATTATCTGAAATATTAGATGAACATAAATACACTGATGTAAACTTACAAATAGAAAATGCCGTCCTTTGTTTTAGAAAGCTGGAAGGTCCACATTTGAGGTCCACATGAATTCATTTCTGAACTGCATTTGACTATAGCTGCTGGTTGAGCCAGTGGAGGAGGAACCTCCTACTTCTCAGTACAGCCCCTACTCTGATGCAGTGCAAAGTAAGGATGTGATTTGGGCAACATGTACAAAAGTAACACTTTCCCCCTCATTTTGTATTATTGAAGAGCATTCGGTCAGCCTTGTGTTTTATATTTGCTCTACTCACAGTTTGGGTTTAGTCAGCACTGGTGGTGGTTTTTTGTCGACTGATGCCTGAGTGATGTCTTCATCAGACTGACTGGATGTGTCACTTTGTTCATGCCCCTCATCCTCAGGCAGTTTGAAGTGCACACGCAGACCAACTCTGGAGCTGGAGCGTGACTCTTTGTGGTTTGTCAGGGTGCCTGTCTTTAGGCAAGAATTAGGAGGAGGATTGGGAAGGGGCATCACAATGGAGCCCTCATTCTGATGGTTTGGGATCCCCTTAACTATGGGGCTCATGTCAGGCGATGTCACTGAAGGTCTGGACTGTTCTTGTTCCACTGTAGTCTCAAGTGCAGATGGAGCAGTGCAGGGTTTTATGTATGGGAACAACTGTCCACCACTCTGTGGTTCTGGACATGCTCTAGTGGATCCAGAAGGGTCTACATTTGAGGTGCTGGTGCTACAAGAGTTCAGGCAGGAGCTGCTGCTGCTGGTCAGGCTGGAGGGCTCCAGATTAGCCAGGCTGGTGTGAAGGGGGTCTGGGCACAACATGCTGGAGCTGTGAGGGTCCAGACGGAGGGTGCTGGTGTTTAAGGGGTCCAGGTGTAAAGTGCTAGAGACAAGTGGGTTTAGGTGAATGGTGCTGGCATGGGGCTTAATGCTGTTGGTCACAGTAACCTCTGGTTGAACGTTTACAGTAAGAGCTGATGGGGAAGGCTCTTGGATTTGACTTGGCTCAACTGTTAAACTGCTGAAAGGCCTTGCATGGTTGCCTTTCCTGCAACTGCCTGAGGAGAATCAGAGAGATGGATATATAGACAATTCAATGTACTTTTATAAAAATATATGTTAGCTGTTTTGTAAAGCAAAGCAGAAGTGTTACCTTTGACCCTTAGTGCAGCAGAGCTGGACACGGTTCCATACTTGTTGCTTGCTGTACAAGTAAATGTCCCTGAATCTTCCAAAATGACCTCAGCAATGACCAAAGTGCAGATTTCTTCTAGAGGTAAAGTTAAAAAAAAGTAATACTCACATAATCAAGTTGGTTAAATTCACTGTAGCTGCATCATTTCTCATCTAGCAAAGAGTCTTAATACAGTAAGGAAAGAAACATGACTTGTGTTTCAAATTGCTCAGCAGTGAGGTTTTGTTGTATCACTGGGGCTGAGAGTCTATCTGCAGCTAAGGCAGTTTGAAGTGATCTGCCATGGTGGTTTGACACAGGATGAGAGACTACCTTATATGGGCCAGAGTCAGGGAAAGGCAGCCCTGGCTTATGTACAGAAGAATAGCAGAAGACTCAGACAAAGGCTGTAAACACTTCAGCAGAATAACATGTCCACAGCGTAGCATCATACACAGACAGGCAGCTGCTTTGGTGCAGTCAACACTTAATGAAGCTGTAATGAAATAAGTACCTGATTCACCTGGAGATCTGGGCTCTGTAACAGAAACAAGTACCAAAATCTTTATGAAACTGCAATAACTGTTTTCTCTTTCATAAATAGATACCATATACAGTATGAGATTCCTGCATGCAAACACATCCATAACCTTAAAATTGTTTACAATAGAATCAACATTTTTCAGCTTTTTGAGCTCATTGCAGCCCCCCACCCCATTGGATAGGATTTAATATGAAGATAAAAATGTGTTTATATTTGTTTTATTACCCAGGATATTCTCAGTGGGCAATGGGACACTAACAGACTTTTGAAACAATTCAAATCTTTAAAATTCACTTCAGTTTTGGGGTTTAATTTGCACCTGGAGTAAATTTATACTAAATCAGACAATAGGAATGTTTTTATTGTAGTATAACTATGTTTTTGTTTACACACCTGTGTTCTTAAGAAATAATAAACTGTTATATGTGACTGCAGCATAAACTGAGAAGAGACAACTCTCTCAAAAATACATAAAGCCTATTTGCACTTTAAGTATGGCAGTGGTGGGACAGCAGCAGGACTTGCTTTTCTGCAGGATCCTGAAATCAGGAGAGTCCTCTATGATTTTTCCCTCTCTGTACCAGTCCACTCGAGGTGATGGCAACCCTTTCACACGGCACTCTAGCACCACCAGCTGGCCTTCTGATGCAAGGAGGTCCTGTAGGTTCTGGAGGGATAAAGCACGCTGGATATTAAATCAGTAAACATACAGATACAACATACATTCCATGAATATATAACAGCAGTTGTATATATTCCTTTGAGAATGACTTTACCTTTGTGAATACAGGGGTAGCAATGACAGGTTGCCCGTTTAACCCTTGCAGATAGTTGGAGGTTTCACTCTGAAGATAAGAAAACCTCAAATTACAAAATACAAAACTAGTCATTAAACAAAACTCACAGTGGAAACAAGTGTTTCAACTCTTCTACCTCAGGTTGGGGTGTCTGCGTTGGAGCTGCCTGGACAGGAAGCACAGATGAAACCGCAGTGTTCACAGACAGTGATGTAGCTGGTGCTGTTGCTGTCTGCACCAGCTGCGGTGTGGAGACAACAGTGACGGACGTTAACACTTCTGTATTGCCTTGTGACAAAGTGGGAAACACCTGCTCATGTAACACTGATGTCATCTCCTGCATGGGCTGTGCGGTGGAAGCCACAGATACTTTAGTGAGCTCTGGGATGGAAAATACTGTAGTGGATGTCTGGAGTGGTGGAAGTGGCTGAACTGTTGATGGTAAGGACAGCTCCTCTGCTGGTTCCTCAGCAGCTGCTGCAGGGTGGGAATACTGAGAGTCTTCCTCTTCTGCAAAGAGAGTTTGGCTCGATGATGGCGAATGATGGTGTGGAACTGACTTTTGGGATTTTCTCTGCAGCCTTTCAAAATCACAGAAGGAAGAAAGGAATGGCCTCACTTAGCACTGCAAAAAGTAGCTAACAATCCACACAAATCATTGTTTTTTATGACAATATTATACAAACTCACTGGGCTACATGTTCAAAGTGCTGTTCTCCCTCAGAATCTGAAGAGGAGGCACCTGTAGGGTTGAACAAACAAGCATAAAGAGGTCATCACTAGCTGTTTTACATCAGCCTGTAAAACTATCAGTAAGAAAGAAAGGAACATAGGAATCACCTTCGACATAGATCTCAGCTGATGTCGAGTCTGTGCCATAGAAATTAGAGGCGAAACAGGAGTAACGTCCAGTGTCTTCCTCAAATGCCTCAGCAATGACCAGAGAATGAAGTTCACCGTTGGTGATGATCTGAATATCAGGACTGTTCTCCAACTCCTTACCCTCACAAAACCACCTGTTATTGAATATATAAACAATGTTACTAAAACCTTTATTGTCTTTTGTTGCATTGAATAGCTGAGCAGCTACTTCATGCACCTTTCTCTAGTTTTGTAAAGACAACAAATTAGAGTATCCAACCATTTCAGGACAATCATAATGAAATTTGGTTCAAGTGGACCTGAATTAGTTGGTAGCATGAAATGGTTACAATAAAGATGCTACACTGGCATTTTGTACAAATAATCAAAGGAAAAAACTACATTAAGTGTCTTATTAAGGTGTTAGACCAGCACAGCTTCACTGCTCTTGAATAAAAAGGGATGAACAAGATGTAAACACATTCCCTTGTTTAACTTGGGTTAATTTAGGTTAAGATCTGTCAAGGCTTAAGCCCTCATCCCCTTTATTGTGCTTTCTCTCCTCATTTATTGAGGTTTTTTCTTTGTTTCCTATTTGTAACTTTACTTGTTTTCTGAAAGTACTCAACTTCAATTTTCACTTTAGTGGCAGTATTTCATTTTCACTGGGATATTTTAAGACTTTTTATTATTTAAACCCCCATCTTTACACCGTTCTTTTTTTCGTTCTGTTAACCCTCTGAAACCCCTTCCATGATGCCAGTAGACTGAGGTGCTTTCCACAGGTGCCTAATAGTGTTTCTGGCTTGGTGCCATTCAACAGCAGCAGGCCAAGGGGAAAAGGTTTTGAGGAGTAAGCTCTATCACTTTCCCTGTAAGATGAGAACTAGAACAACTGATCTAGATAAAGTTAATGAAAAGTGTATGTACTTTTTTAATGAGGGAAGAGATGGTGGATGACATGCAAGAAAGAGACTCAAATCAGGTTAATTCTGGTCAGCGCCCTAAAGAAATACTCAGTATTGTTTAATAATGATGTATAAAATAAATGAACATGAAATAATATTAAAACGTGCAATAAATGACCAGAAAGGATTAGGAAGGAATCTCCTAATTAGTAACATCTAGAACTAGATTTATTTTATGATCAGGAAATGCAGCATGGCAACAGTTTGTTTTTTCAAGGAAAATTATAATAGTAAACCTTTAGCTTCCTCCCTGTCCTGACCAGCAACATATACAACTGAATCTACCTCAAAGTACATCTATTTTGAGCATATGAGACCTGGATGCTTTATTAAATCTAGCCAATAAACAATCAGGAATGAAGTAATGTGTTACTTTCTGGGATGATGTTGTTATTCAGCTGTGAACCAGTACTTTTAGAGTGAACACTTTTTGAAATAAAGAAGCAGGCAATTGTACTTTTTATAGATGTTTTTTAGCACTGAAGCTGTTCGAAATGTCAGGAATACACTAAAATCAATGCCTCACAGCACAAACTATTATTAAATTATCTACTTCTCAGTTGTGGCTCAGGAGGTAGAGTGGGTTGTTTCCTAACCAAAGGATTAGTGGTTTGATTACCAGCTTATCCGGTCAACATGTCAAAGTGTCCTTGAGCAAGACACTGAACCCTCAGTTGCTCCCGGTGATAACACCGGTGTGTGAATGTGTGAGCGAGTGAGAATGGGTGAATGGCCAAGTAGTGTGAAAGCGCTTTGAGTAGAAAGCGCTATACAAGTATAAGACCATTTATGCTTTGGTATTTAAAAATTCCTGGTTTAGTTTTCAATTAAAAAAAGAAGCACTACAAATCTGTTCCTGACACTAGGATGTTGCTGGAATGTGCTGTCAGTGTTTTGTGTGAACTGAGCTATGTCAGTTCTAGTGAGTCAGGGTCTAAATTGAAAGCATGAGTAGTAGAGGAGGTGGTTGATCTATGAGGCAAAGACCCTGCTCACTGCACCTGTCAGGGCTATTTTCCCTTTGGAGATCAGAACCAGAGAGGAGATTCCCCCTGGAGCCTGGGAGCCCAGAGTGGCTGACCCAATCACATACACACAATACTAAACATAGACTCAAAATACACACAGTGCTATACCCTGACACACCAGAGTGTGCACCACTGCACACTGATGGGAAATAGGAACCTGACAACTCTCGTTTGGCTCCTCTAGTCAGAGTCATATACACAGTAGTTGCATGGGCAAACAAACAAACAAACAAACAAACAAACAAACAAACATGACACTAAAGTACACTAAATGAAAAGTGTGGTATGTTAAGAGAATATGCCAAATCAGAGCCAAGCTTGAACATAATGTGTAGGACGTAACATATTTCAAGAAGAAATCACTGGCACAATACCCAGATCTTCTCACTTTTGTTTTAAGAGACCAAATCAAACCATAATAAGAAGTCCACAAGCAATAACTTTAGAAATCATCTTACCAAACGCCTCATGCCTTTGTCGAGAGCTCGGCCACTTCTATTATCAGGAGCAACTACAGCTCACAGTGCCAGTCTCAGGTCTAAAAATGGCAGAGAGCTACATTCTCCCCGGACAAGTATATGTTAGTGGCTGAACAATGTTCAGTAGGACTAACAAGCCCATACCCACTGTAGTCTGACACCTCAGCTTCACACAATCAAGTTTTTGTTGTCCTTAGAGGGACTGTATATGTCTTAAAACATATCTGACAACACTGCCATTAAAAAAACATTAAATGAGTAGAAACGTATAAGTAATCATGTTGGATTTCTAATTTTATTTTGCTTATTCCCATACCAGACAATAACCCAACAAGAGGTGTAAATTCCTTTCATATTTTTTCACCATTTGACCATAAATAATCAGTAATTAGGATAGCACCCTATTAAGAAGCTACCGGTATCACTCTTAGAAGCAACAGGAAGCCTAATGTGATTATCTCCTGTCCCAGACATACAGTAGGGCTGACACACAAACACGTTCAGAATCAACTGTTGGCTGTCATCATGTCACGCCGGTCTGGATTGATTTAACTCATGCTTCTCAAAGTACTTTGTAATTATTGAGTATTATCCAAAACCTAGACACAACTTAGTTCATGTTTTGGGTCACAAATGATTACAAATTGTTCTTTAAACAGTGTTAATGCAATATCCTCAGTGAAACAGGATTTTTTAGATTGACATTGACATTGATACTTTAAAGTTAAAAAATTTGATAAAAATGTATCAGACACTGCCAGATCTCTAAAATTTGGTTATTAAAGAACCTTTATTAGTTAATACTTGATGATAATACTGAGGTGTGGTAAACACATTGTGTTTCTGTGTGTATTGCTTAAAATCAATGATAATACTGTTATAAAAAATACTCAAGTAATGTACAAATAGCTAAAATGTATACTTAAGTACAATAATGGAGTTAATGTACTCAGTTATCATCCATGCCACTATCCCCTGGTCCAACATCGTGTCTTGTTCTCATATCGTATTCCTCTAAACAAACAGCTGATCCAGATCGACCCAGATCCTTCAGCACAGTATAGACACAACCTCACAGCCCACTGGCCTTTCTGCTTTTTTCAAATATTACATTTTTTCAGATAAATGCAGACTAATTTGGAGAGAGCATCGAAGCAGGAGGTCTTAATGTAAACTAAGAAATAAACTAATATCATCAGGTCAACCGCCAAATTGACAGGGTTTTCTTACCGGACTTCAGGCACGGGGAGTCCACTCACAATGCAGTCTAACCTGACCTTGCTGCCCTCTGGAACCTCCCTGCTTTTCAGTTTCTGGATGAAACATGGAGGCTCACACACAGACTCCACTGGGTATGACGTTTCTCTCAAGTCACAGCCTTCAGCCTTCTCCTCTACCTCCTGGGATACAGAGCCGTAATGCTGCTCCTCAGTATCCCTGCAGTCCTGAAACTCCTCATGCCTGATCCCAGAGTCCACCTGGACCTCTGGTTGATGGCTATCAGCAGGACTGGGTCTCTCCTTCTCCAGCTCCCTGTTGTCTGAACTGAGGGGATAAACTGCCCCATCGTTATGGCTCTTGTCCTGGACCCTACTCCTGTGAGCTTTGCATGCTCTCGGTCGTATCCGCTTGGAGCTGTTGGCCTTGAAGAGAGAGGAGAGCTCCTCAATGAAGTCCGCTGCCTTGTTGAGGAACTCCTTCTTAGACTGGGTCTCCGCACTGTAAGGGGTATTCCTTGCTGACCTGTTGAAGTCGCTGACTCCTTTATTGGAATCTCTGCTGTTCCTGATCATGTTGTCCTGCCGTGTGGAGGCTTTGTGCATCTTTCTGTCTAATGTGAATGTTGCATGTGTTGCTGGCAGTTCTTGGGACTCGGGGGCTGGCTGGGTGAAGGGCACAGTGAAGGGGGCCTCAAAAGGAGCAGGAGAGGGTTTAGTGAAGGGAACAGGAGAGGGTGTAGAGGAAGAGACTAAGACCGAGGACACATTAGAGGGGGTTAATAGAGTTACAGGGGTCTTGGCCTCACCCCTCTCCTCATGGGACTCATGTCTGATGGCCTGGCAGGCCAGGTTCACACTCTTATCCAGCTCCTCTTGGCTCAGGAAGGCTGAGAGATCTGGGAACTGGGGGTCACTGTGGCCCACAAAGTCCTCAGCCTTGTTTTTGAGTGGCCCATAGATCTGGAGATGTGTGGAAGAAGCATCTGAGCGACTCATCTTGCTGTGGCGCTGCTGGGCTTTGGTCTCTGCCAGGTAGCTCTCTTTTAAGAACTGAGACAGTGGTGGTGGCTGGTCAGTGTTGTTCTCTTGCATGCTGTGGAAATAATCACAAGGCACTGAGTTACATTCAAGGTCGCTTTCCATCTTCCAGTGCATACAGTACTATAGGGTTGTAGAATGATTTCCTACCTCCTAAGGAGGTCAGTATATTTCTAATTTCATTCACATATAACTGTGAGAGATCCAGTACGCCCTGCTTATTGTCTATCACTTGTACTCATTTTAACTGTGCTGTTTCAGACCCCCAACAGGTCTGTGTGAATTTAAATAGATGAGGGTCTGAGGATTGTCACAATTAATAAGAATTCAAGTGATTTCTTGGTTCTTTTACAGTCAACATTTTTGACTGGGCACATTTGTCATTAAGACTTTCTGATGTGAAAAAAATACCAGCATGCAGACGATCAACACTTTATCAGAAGACCTAAATACTGAGATCAAACAGCTGATATGTATGGCAAAAAAGTTAACCAAATGTTCACTGTGTTTGATAACCTGATTAGATTTTAAGCTCTCTGCAAGTTGACTTTCATACTGTCAGTAGCTGTCTGAGAGATAAGACATCAGTCTAAAAATATACGATAAGCATCAGAGCTGAAAGGAGTCATTGATTTGTTTTTATTAACAGAAAATGAAATAAATATATATGAAATAATTTTGTCATTATCAGTGTCATTTTACATGGAAAGTTGCTACCTTCTCAAATGTGTACATTTTATTTCTAACTGTGGACTGTTTTTCAGACCATCACGCAAATATGCAAGACTTCAGGAACTGTGAGGGAGACAAGTTGTTTCTTAATCAACAAACTTATTGATAGCTCAGTAGCTATAGCCCTAGTAAGCAAAATAAAATGCATATGATCATTTCACTGCTATATCTACAAGACTTTAAAAGAGGAATGATCTATGATCAGAAATCGGTCAATGAAAAGCAAAGCCCTAGTTGGAATCCTTTCACATATTTACCAGATACATCTGCAAAATAAAGACTTGATGAAAACATATGCTGGTATGAATTGCTATTTATTTTAGCCTAATTTCATCCTTCCTCTAGAGTCAACAGGGTGTCAGATTCATGCACCAGATCTGCTGCCAAGCTTTTTTGCCCCTGTCCAGTTAAGACAAACACTTATATGACGTTTAGTCTTTGAACAACTTTTTAACACTCGACATGAGTAAGTTATTGAATAGACGTGAGATAGGGGGCACATGTGCTACTGACACTCAAATCAATGCAATTAAGAGACGGCAGTGCCCTTCCAACAAACCCGAAGCTGCAGCTGTTGTGTACATTAATCCTGTGCAAACAGCCTCCAAGCACACCAAGTCATATCTAATAATAGCGACGGCTCAGTTTACATGAATAAAGAAAAAAAAAATACAGTCCCCCCTCTGCACCCTTGTTATCAAGATTTTGATCAGTCATGATAGTCATTAATCCAATTACACAAACAGAACTATAATTATCGTAAGCAGGGTACTGCTGAGTGTCACTGCCTACACAACAATGAACCCCCCTGGTTAAACACAGCACCACACACCCAGGCAGCTTAAGGTAATTCAACTAAACAGGAGCATAACATTCAAACAGGAATAGACTCAAGCTTGTCTGAAGCTCAGTGTTGATGCCAAAAGACAGTCAACAGGACACTGTGAGCAACAATTAAATTAGGGGCTGGTGTGTTTTACCTCCTGTGTAAACTCAGCTGCCCCCCTGTGTAGGACTGGTAATCCTCAGAGTGCACCTGTGCTCAAAGAGGGAGATTTCAGCCTTCCGGATGCTGCCACTTGGGAAATCTTGGAAACAGACAGCTGCCCAGCTTTCCTGGTTTTCTCTCACAGAGCTAACCTTGGAGTCTACAGGAACATATGGAGCCGAGTAGCTAGGGTAACCTGTCACCAGAATAAGTAGCAACATTTGTCAGTGCAGTAGTCGCAGGTTATTTTGGGGACGCCTGGCCCATGTGCCTGACCATGTGTCACGCCCCCCTCCCCGCAACAGCATTTTAGTCAGTTGTTTTAACACATTTTTTCAGCATGTTAAAGAGAAAATTATATCAGAAAGTAATGAAAATAATAGGCATTTGCAATGACTGATTTTCTTTTGCTTATAATAATGCCTGCTTACTGATGAGAACATATACAGTACAACCCCAAATCAGAAAAAGTTGGGACTATGTAAAATCAAAATTAAAACTGAAAAGAGTGATTTGTAAATTGTCTGTGTCCTGTATTACACTGAAAACTATACAGCAGCATATTATTTGGTGTGAAGCCTCATCAATTTTATTCTTTGTTCAAACAAACACTTCAATTCTGATCCCTGCAACATATTCCAAAAAATATTGGGACTGTTTCATTTCAGGGCCAGTAATGAGGTAAAACAATGAAAAGACGGTTCCATGTGAACCAGGTGATGTCAACAGGTGGCTGCAATCATGATTTGGTACAACAATGGCATCCAGGAAATGCCGAGCCCTTTAGGAGCAAGGATGGGACGAGGACCACCACTTTGCCAACATACTGTATGTGTGAGAAAATTACTGAAATGTTTAAAAACAATGCTCCTCAGAGAAAGATAGGAAGAAAACTGGAGATGTCACGCTCTATGGTGCAGAACATAATTAAAACATTCAAGGAATCTGGAGGGATTTCAGTGTGTGAAGGACAAAGGCACAAGCTTAAGCTGGATGACTGTGTTCCCCGATCCCTCAGACGGTACTGCATCAAGACTCATCACTCTTCTATAAGCGATATAACCACATGGGCTCAGGATTACTTTGGCACACCTGTATCAGGCACTACAATATGTAGTTACATCCATAAATGCTGCTTAAAACTGTACTGTGCCAAAAGGAAGCCCTATGTCAACAGTGTCCATAGGTGCAGTCGAATGCTCTGGGCTCGGAGGCATCTGGGACGGACCATCACACAGTGGAAACGTGTACCGTGGTCAGACCAATCAGTATTTCAGGTCTTTTTTGGAAGGAATGGACACTGTTTGCTCCAGAGCAAAGACAAAAAGGACCATCCAGACTGTTACCAGCAACAAGTCCAAAAGCCAGGGCCTGTCATGGTCTGGGGTTCGTGTCAGTGCCCTCGGCAAAGGTCACTTACACTTCTGTGATGGCACCATTACTGCTGAAACATAGAGAGATTTTAGAGCAACATATGCTGCCTTCAAGATGACATCTTTTCCGGGGACACCCATACATATTTCAACAAGACAATGCAAAACCTCATACTGCACATCACCAAGGCCTGGCTGTGGAGGAAAAGGGTGCGAGAGCTGGACTGGACATTTTGCAGTCCTGACCTGTTCCCAATAGAGAATGTGTGTCACATTTTGAAATGCAAATTATGTCAACAAAGACCCAGGACTGCTGTGCACCTTAAGACTTGTTTGCAAGAGCAAAATGACACATTTTAAATACAGAATAAATAAATAAATAAATGAATGGTATCATATCAAATACTGTGCTGCTGTATTGTTTTCAATATAATACAGGACACATGATTTACACCACTATTTTCAGTTTTCATTTAGATTTTACATACTATCCCAGCTTCTTCTGATTTGGGGTTGTATCAAGGCCTCAATTTAGTGCCAAACAAAATCACCTGTGTTCCATGATTAATGAACCATTTATTAGAAAGATGATGAGAAGCATTTCCAAGACCAACAGATAGAAACAAAAAGCAAGCCTGAGCATCAATTTACACTTAAAACAGTGTAAGATCTGGTATCAAATGCTTCAATTCAAGTTGATTTAACAAGAAAGCATCACCAAAAAAGCTAATTTACACTGATTCCTACGCAAAAACAAACAAACAAACAAACAAAAAAAAAAAACAAAGTTTGATATACATGTTAGGAGCATTTAATGCAAGTCTGCCATACTTGGGCTAAAACATTATTTGTATATAATTTGTTTTATTAAATCACTGGAGCAACAAGTTCAATATATACCGCTAAGTGAGGTTTTAGATATGCTGTCAAACAAACAGAAGCAAAATTAGGAAATCCTCACTAGCCTGTGTTTGCCATAAGCTTTCTGGCACTCGGTATAATGTCCTGCACACCAGGCTTAAACAAAGTAATATTTAAAGTTAGGGAAAAAATAAGTACTGCTAAAACTCTTTGGCATAACTGCACGTCTACCAACACAGTAAAGGCAACATGAAGAAGAGAATCATAGTTCTCATATGTGAAATTACATGCTTGAATGAATAAATCAAATCAAATCAAATAGTTGAGGTCAGTGACTTGGTTTTCATTTCATCTGTGTTGACTGTAGCCACTAGGTTATTCACACAGTGGGGATTTGTAGTAGCAATTGTTAATATTGGACAGTATTATTAGCAGCAATAGAAAGTCTTGATAAGCCCAGTCTATCAAAACCATACAAGACACTTCGTTGTTTAAAGGTTAGGAATGAAATCAGTGTCTCCCTCGTCAGGGTATCCGATCAAACCGCCTACGTGAAGGCACTCTTCAAATGAGGAGAACACGCAGTAGCATCCCACATGATCTGAAGCTGGGTCCATCATAATCACAGAGGAAAGCACCATAATGGAAGTCTGTGTGCTTTTTCCTTTTTCTTTTATTTTAGTGCAGTGAGATTAAGCTTCTGCTCAACAAGTCAACATCATGTTTTGTTTGTTGTTCACAGTGTTTCGTGACCTCGAGTCGAGAGCGATGGAGCCGACACTCTTAACATTGTACCTAGTGCAGTGAGCCAACTTGTGTCGGAGGCACAGTAACAGTTCTGCAACAAATTTGCTCACGCCAACTCTGCCATCAGGAGTCGTCACTGGCCCGTTTGCGAGACTGGTCACCACTGGAAAACAAGGATAGTCCATTAGTAGTGCATGCTTGAAGCTGAATGACATTTTATTGCAACTGTGAATAGTCACTGGCTGAAACTGAAGTGTCAGAAAACTTACCGTGGAAATCCGTTCATAGAGAGCTCCATCTGGAGCTTCTGGTCATGGGCGGCGTAGTCGGACAGCAAAGACTCCACAGCAGGGGGGTTGATTTGGGGAATAAAGCCAGAGAAGAGAGTCGGGGCTAGCTGGGCCCACTCTGCAACAGAAAACCAAACATCTGTGAAACAGAAGTGCACATGTAGAGCTGCTGATTCTAGTGGAGAAATAAACTAACATGCCTGTCTATTTTGCCATAGTGGAGGCAAAATGATCACATTAGCTTGCAGCATTAAAACAGATAATACATACAAAAGATTTCTGGTAGCAGATGAGGTGAAGAACAGAGACATCACTTACCTGGTCGGAGGCTGTAGAGGCCTTTAACCACACTGGCCATTGTAGATGGCTGTACTTGAAAGGGCATGGAATGGGCTTTGATGAGAAGAGCTAAACAAGAGAAAATTAGGTAATAAGTAATCTGTATTATAAAGGAATCAAGTCTTCTGAAGGTGCAGTTCCATCAGCTGAATCAAAAATCTTGTGAATCCAGGATAAGAGAATACAGGACACTGGTTTGCAACAAACATCTGTCCTGGATTAGGTACCAAGTTTTGTTACAGGTTCACAATAACAAACAAAGGAACAATTTTAAAATGTCATGACAGCCATTCTTCAAACGAAGAAATACACTCACGCATCAGTGTTTTCACATGTTTTTCTGCAATGTGATCAGCAAAGAGCTTCATCAGATCCTCTCGTAGGTCTCTGTTCAGCTTTGACTCAATGTAGAACTTGTTCTGAAAACATACAAAAAAAAACATTAAAAACTGCATGATGCTGAACACAAGTAACACCCAGCACAAGGCTTTACTTGGTTGCAAGGACTACCAGAAAAGTTCTGTGTTGTCTTTACAACCGTTATTTACCCTAGAGACCTATGAAATAGATGCCTACCAGGTACATAAACACAGGAACTACACATTGAAGAGAAGTTGTGTATTGTGTCAATGCAATGTTGAAGTTCTCAATGAAGTTCTCAGGTGGGCTCGCCTGGGAAGACAATGATAAAGCGTTTTTATAGTTCCTTGTGTGTAGTATGTAATAATTTCCTTATATATGAATTTACTTACTTGTAGATGGGTGGAAACTTGTTGCAGATGATTTGTTATTTTTGATGTCAAATCATTGTAGAGCAGCTCAGAGTGCTGCTGACAAACACATTTGTAGACATAACTAGGGAAACAAAGCAAAAGCAGAGGCTTGCTGAGATAGCAGATGGACTACAGTAATCAGTGATGCACAACGGGGGCCACCAATTAAATCACAAACTACTCACAGTTCAGGTGTAGCTTTACTCAGCATCCCATTACCCATCATGTCTTACCTGTATATCTGTGCATAAGAAACAGAGATGTGGTCTGTGGGATTCTGAATTAGCAGACGGTCAATGGCCTTCTCCAGATTTGGCCAATGGTTTTTTCTGTAGTCTTCTTCTGCCATTGCATTCAGGACTGAGTGAAAAGATGACAGCTGGTCAGGTGGTGGTCTGACTCTGGTCAAAACCATTAAGATGAACAGACCACTACAGGGAGCATCACACAACAGCAGGTAGTCACTCAGCAGGCCGAGCTGCCGAGTGACTACAGCTGACAGACGCATGGGTCTGTTATAAATCCATGGGTCAGACCCTGCTGTCACCGTACCTACTTTCATTCAAACTTACGGAACTTGGAAGCAGAATCGAGGGTGAATTTTCCCTCGGTGGTTGGCGGAGCCGTGCAGTCAGTCTCACTGACTTCGCTGCTCTCGCTGCTAGAATCCGAGGCCCTGAACCTTGACCCTCCAGTGCTGCTGGACCGCAGCTTTCCTTGTCGAGCCCCCGGTTCTCCTCCCGGCACCGGTTGAGAGATGGGCTGCGGGACCGTGGTTACATCAGACGGATGACTGTTTAGATACGTGCGGACTTTACTGCTGCTGCTACACGCACAATAGTTGTGGTTATGATCGTCTTTTATGTCCAAACTGTCATCTTCCATGGCCTCCATTTTCACAGACAGTCCTACGTGCCGAAGCCTGGTACCACTAGATGTACATTTCAGATAACAATCCAGGATATAAACGTAGAAACTGTCAATCGTCTTCCGTGATGCCCATCTCGGTTTTGGCGTTGTACACTACATTTTTACGACATGTCGTATCACCGGACATGATGATATAACAGGGAAATGTAGTTCCAAACGCGTTGACTAAATAAAGACGTTTACCGGGCCTTGATTATCTAAACCTTACTCAGCGGGACCTTGTGCATTGTCTAAGGATTAAACATCTATGAGCAGACTGTTCAAAGATTGGCTATCTTGAGATTACGCCTAATATTTGGGAATTTCGTGTTATCAAAATACGCATGCGCATAGCGGCGGTATTCCCCAAATTTGAATCCCATCACGAAATCCCACTACAGTAAATCCTTTCAAGTGGCACTATTATAACACTTTCCTCAGAATTATAACAATGTCCAACTAGAGAAATGCATTTCCTGTCAAAAATGCCTGCGGATGTTGATATGCTGAAGGATCACCCTGAAAATGCCTGAAATCAATTGCTGAAACATCTGAAGGATGAGAAGAAATAGATGAAGTTCTTAGCTGAATAATCTGAAGGATGAGATGCAATAAATACAAGTAGGAATGTCCTTGAAGAGCTGAACATTTTAATACCTGAATGGCTTTTCTAGGTGAAAGTGAAGAAATTAGGTGCCGAAAAACGAATGGAAGAAGCCAGAATAATAAATATTAGGATAACATGGTGCATCCACACAGTGAGACCCGCTCGCAGAAATCCTTTCACTGTAGTTACACATTAAGTGGAATAAGGACCTTGCAGGCGCTAGGTGGCGGACCATGCACACTGATGTGAACACCAGTCAGCAGCTGCATGAAAGAACAGAAATGAGTGGCCAATGTTTTTCCATTTGTTTACTGAAAGCCTCGTGAGACATAACAGCTATAATGATGTAAAAATGTCTTATTTCCTTAAACATTAAACAAAACATTACCGTGTAAATGGTATGTAAATTATGTTGGCATAGACATTTATCCAACACATTGGCTCAAATATGTCTATCTACCAACAGTGTCTGTACAGGCAGCAGATTCCTCTGTATGATGGAACTGTTTTAACTTTATGAAAATTGACAGAAGCAACAAACCAGTATTATAAGAAGGACAAAGTTCCATTTTTCAACATGAATCACTGAATATATTCCTAAGGCTTAAACTTAGTACAATGTTGTACAGATAAAAAGTATTATCTACTCTTGGATGAGTGTCTCTCACATCAGAGTATAAAAATAAAAGGCCTGACCATAAAAAGTAGCTGCCATGTTGTCAGAAAGAACACCTTGTTAATAGTTGTATTTAAATGACAGGTTAAACATACAAAGTTTATGACAACGTAGGAGCATGTAGATGACGTGTTCTTTGGTCTAAAATTAAAGAGTACTGTTCTGTTTCCCCCAGCATTGACCCCAATGAAAGGTCACAGCTGAACTTCTTATAATACAAGTTAAACAATGGGTTTGAGTATACCGTCTTAAGATTTCTGTATCTAAAACTCATAGTACTCACTATTTAGTAGGCAGTAGGCTTACATATTTACATGTTTCTCAATGGTAACGTGAACCAACTCTAAAACACGTCATTAGACCACAGCTGACATCACACTGTGGAATGAAATTCACATTTCAAGTCTTTGCTTGGATGGACTGCAATTCAGAAATTAAAGCTTAATCTAGTGTTGCATTTGTGGTGTGCCAAAGTAAATGAGAACATCAGCCTAATTTCTAAAAATATGAATGCAAAATTAGATGACCACATGGAAAGAATTTCTAAAAAAACAAACTTTTTTTAAAACTACTGCATTCTATTTAGTAAGTAGCATACAGTATGAGGTTTTAGACATAATGCATGTGACCAAAATGGGAACGGGGGAAAAAAAACCCAAAGGAAAAAGAACCAACTTTCTGCATATTCACACAAAGTTGTCACGCAAACTCAGCTTTATGAAAAATAATAGATGAGTCAATATATGAAACATTTATATAAAGACAATTAGTGCTTTGTTGACTGGGTACTTTACATTTATAGATGTGTGGTGCTCCGAGTGTTTTCAGATGTACTGTCTGTCAGCTCACTTGATGTGGCCTCATTGGATAAAGTGTGTCGTACTGTGTCTCTGAGGCACATCTCTTCATCCACTGCTGGTGCATCAGCTTCCTCTTGCTCGCTGTCTCCTTCTTCTACCCCCTCTGCACTGCATTCAGACTCCTCACTATCACTGCCACAGGAGCTCGACGTCTCATCCTCAGAGTCAGAGTAAACCTCGGCCCCAAGGAAGATATACTGATTTGGTGCTTGGAACAGGTACTGGCCCACTGTGGGAAACAATACAAACATTTTACAATGCTGAAATGAATATTTGGAGAAAATCTATTTTATGTCTTAGGTATTCATATTATATGTATTAGCATGGATTTGCATTAGATATTGTTGAATGATGAATGGGTTAGCAGCTGTTTGTGAACACAACTGACTCATTTAAAAAAAATTTACTTAATGTGAACAATGCTGTTCTTTCTACAGTGGTCTGAAACTTACTCTCAAGGCGTTTGCTGATTGGACTTCTGTTGATTCGACTCATCCAAAATCGTCTACGAAATTCAAGGTTGGAAGTTTGGCTCTTTATGTTGGCAGCCTCCTCTTTTGGTGCGTCTTCTGTGGGGAGCTCTGATGGCTCAACCATCTCTCCACTGTGGTGCTGAGTGTTTGGACAAGGCTCTGGAGGTGTAACATTATTACCAGCAGTCTCTGTGATATTCTGACTTCCTGTCTCCTCTGAAGGCTCAGTTACGGAGTCTGTATTGTGCTGCTTCAGCTCCTCCTGAGCAGACAAGGCCGCACTTGGTGGCTGTTCTGGTAACCGAGGGGGCTTCTCTGTGATTTCAGTGAGTCTTACAGTGTTGTAGCAGAGCTGCTCAAAGTCTCCACCCAATCGATGACAAAGTTCGTTGACAATTACATCACAGTCCCCAAGGAGCTCCACATCAAAATTGAGGTGAGGCAGCTGCTCCCTATTGATCAGGACCTGAGGCACTTCATGAGGAATGGAGTCTGCATGGGATGAAGAGAAGAGAAAACGTAGCATGCTGGATTATTGCATGCATTGCACGGACAACAGAAATACATTAATCTAAACAAAACATACTTGGGATGAGGGCAACTGGTCGGACTTTAAGCGAAGAGCCAATGACAATCAAGAGGTCCACCTCATCCTTATCCTGCTTCATGGCTCTGTGGAACATTTCTGGAAGATTCTCTCCAAAGAAGACAATGTCAGGTTTCATGATCGCCAGGGGAGCATCTGGACAGTGTGGACAATGAGGGACAACCTGCAAGAGGATTTCAGTTCATTAGCATTATAACAAAACTTTGTGTTAAAGAAAGACCACACCACATTTCATCTGTATTTTGACAGGGACTGCATGTCTACAATGCAGACAACACTAGCCAGCGTTCTCAAAGTAGGCAGCTGTACCCATACTTGCCAACCTTGAAACCTAGAAAATAGGGAGGATGTCAAAACCAAAGCAGGGTGTCTGGGGATCCTCCCCCAGAAAAATCTGAGCTCCAGAGACATTGTTTCCTGCATTCTGGTGACTTAAAAAAAAGAAAATACCAAAATAATAAGCACACTGCAACAGCATTTTTATGTAAAATACCTTTAATTCTCAGTTAATACAGAGAATACAATTGTCTCTACTATACCTGCAATTCCATTTTTTGCCAGCAGGCTGTGCACAGTCTACTTTTTAAAGCAGGAAATTTCATGTGGAGCTCATAACATTAATAATGGCTCCTTTACAAAGAGTATGGTAATGCAAAGAAGCAATTAATAATTGTTATTTGCTACACTTGCATATGACAAGTCCACATGTCTCTCCTGGAACAGCTCTATACTGCTTCAGTTTTGGAACCAATGCTAACATCAAGTCTATGTCTTACACAAGATCTTTTACACAGTAAATACACATGGAGATCAGCTTGACTGACTGGAAGTTGCTAGTTAAAGAGTGTTTTTAAAAGTGTTCTATTATATTCTACTGCTGACTCCGGACGGATGTGGCAAGGCCTGCAGCACATCAGACTACAGGACCACCACCAGCATCATCAGCTCCACAGGCAGCCTGCCGGATGACCTCGACACCTTCTACACCTGCTTTGAGACCTCCAGCTACAGCACAGAGAGAAAGCACACACATACCTGGACCGCTCAACCCCCCCTTCACTAACTGTTTCGCCAGACCAGGTACACAAAGTCCTGAGGAAGATTGACCCCCGCAAAGCAGCAGCCGGCCAACATCCCTGGGATGGTTCTCAGGGCATGTGACAGCGAGCTGGCTGATGTTCTCACCACCATCTTCAACCTCTCCCTCAACCAGAGCATCGTTCACACCTGCTTTAAGACCACAACCATTGTCCCCCTTGCTAAGAAGAGCCCGGTCACCTGCCTGAAAGACTACAGGCCAGTGGCACTCACCCTAATCATTATGAAGTGTTTTGAGATAGTGGGGCTGGCCCGCATTCAGACCAGTATACCAAACACCCTGGACCGCCTGCAGTATGCCTACCGGTCCAACAGGGCCACCTCAGACGCCATTGCGGCTGCACTCCACTATTCCCTTTCTCACCTGGAAAATGGAGACTCCTACATCAGGATACTCTTCACTGACTACAACTCTGCCTTCAACACAGTTGTCCCCAACAAACTGTCCACACTAGGTCTGCACCCC